ACTTCCTCAAGGTGCTTGACGTGCTCTTCCATGGACTTGCTGAAGATCAGGATGTCATCGAGGTAAACAACAACAAACCTGTTGAGCTGATGGCGAAGGACCTTGTCCATGAGGCACTGAAATGTGGCTGGTGCATTCGTAAGACCGAAGGGCATAACGATGAATTCGTACAGCCCATCGCGTGTCTTGAATGCAGTTTTGTGCTGGTCGCTCGGATCAACTTCAATCTGGTGGTAACCAGACTTGAGGTCGATCTTGGAGAAGACCTTGCACCCACCTGCCGCATCTAGCAAATCATCTATGCGAGGCAAAGGATACGCGTTCTTTCAGGTGATACGGTTTAGGCCACGATAGTCAATGCACATCCGGAGTTTACCTCCTTTCTTCGGCACAAACAGGACAGGTGCACCGAACTCAGACTCACTAGGCCTAATCCATCCACGGTCGATCATGTCATCAATCTGCCTCCTCAACTCCTCCAACTCGCCTTGTCTCATACGATAGACACAGCCCTTTGGAGGAACACTCCCTTCTATTATCTCGATCTTGTGTTTGACCGGACGCTCGGGAACTCCACGAGGTTCGGCCAAAACTTCGGGAAATCGATCTAATAGCTGGCGAATGTTTGTTGGGACTTCCGGTGGAGGATCATCCTCATCAGGAGAAGAAAATCAGATCGAGAATTTACAGCAATTACAACCGGATTTGAAGTACTTAGATCAGAAGTAGAGGGATTATCCACAGTAGAAGTAGATGGAATAGAAGTAGAGGTGGTAGAAGTAGAATTACTTACCGAGGTAGAAAATGCAGCAAAAGTAGAAGGCACATGGAGAGGTTTTACAAGAGCTACATGTACATGCTCAGCTTCCTTGCGCCTGCGCACTGATTTGCAGAATTTGTTTGCACTTAAAAGAGTCACAGGGGACTCGCGTGTCTCGTCCAATAGAACGGTACGCTCGTTCCCCTTGGCATCACGCACCACGAACTGGTTATCCGCCCACGTGGTCCTTAGGCAATGAACCTTTAACCAGCCCAAACCAATGACCGCGTCAAACGGACACTTGTCCATGACATAGAAGTTCAGCTCATGTGTGACAGTGCGATCCTTGTCAAAAGTGACGCGCATACCTTTGACAGCATGTGTGGAGGTGACAACCTCTTGATTGCCCACCTGGGTCTGACAAGGGTTCTGCAATTCCACTTGCTTCATTCCCAGGCCCACCTTACGAATCCCGTTAGGAGAAAAGAAATTGGTGGTTGAACCACAACACGCGGATGTATCGGCGGTTAATGAGCAGTTTAAAGAAGGTTAGCTTCACACTCCCTTGAACACAGCGTTGCTGCTTGAGCTGCAGCCAACGTTCCAGGTGAACGTGGAAGTCAACTTCCTTAGACTCCTCCCAAGGCTCAGTGTACAGTACATAAACTGTAGCGGCCTTGGATTCAGCGTCGTTCCGGGCTTCAGGGGCAGCCTGTTGATTAGATTCAGGCTCCTTGGAGGGGCCTGCAACTGACGCTTCAGCTTCCCTTGTTGTAGAGAGTGTTGATGACTCTTCTACGCCCTTTGCCTATTTCCCTGCAGACGATAATAGTCCTGCACAGCATGCCCAGGCTTTTGACAATGCAAGCATACGCGCAGTTTGGATCTTCTTTCCCATTTTTTTTGACTGATGCGGAGGGCTTCCCAAGGCTTGGTAGAAGCTTCCTCCGGTTTCTCAGGGATCTTCGCATTCTTGGGGAGGTATGCAATAGTTCCCCTACCCGAACCACGGTTAGGCCCCTTGCTTGAAGCAGTCTTTTTGAAAGCATTAAGTTTTTCATCTTCATTCATGTCAGACTCAATGGTTGATGTAGAACAGCCCATATCGGAGTCCGACTCTAGATCATCATCTAGAGACAGATCATCCGCGTAGGACTGATCTTCAGCCTCCCGATGTTCATGCAGGGCAAGCTGGTTGCTGCTCCCATACTACTTGCGTTGTGATTTGATACCTGCAGCGGGTGCCTTTTTACGCCTGGCGAGGTCCTTGGCCTCTAGGTTGACTAGATCCGTCATGAGCTCTCGCCAAGTGGTATGGTCTTTGAGTCTCAGCAGGGAGAGGTATTCTTTAGGGGCCATTCCCATGACTACATCCATGCAAGACACGTGTCATTCCCAGGTTTGGAGTGGTGAACAGGCCAGTCAAGTGTTGTTCCAAAGCCTGCATGGAGGTCCTCCATGTTTGACCTTTGAGGGCCTCAAGCTTCAGCCTTGCCTTGAGCGCAGCGTGCTTATCTTGGTACCGTGTGATGAGGAGGTCCTCAAGAGTGCGTACAGGAGTTACTTTCAGCCACTCAGTCAGGTCAATCCTCTCAGAACCTGCTGTAACAGCTTGGAGTTCAATGAAATTCCGTACGGCGGGCTCAGTATTTGTGCCCATGATCATGCTTCGGTCTTCCTGCGGTGTTCGCAGTACCTTGAAGTATGAGCGCATGGAGCTGATCCAAGAGGTAATGTCCCCTTTCCCGTCGTACTTGGACGGCAGAGTGGCCGCCCGCTTGTCCACTACGGGACCGTTGTACTGTACGCCAGTAAGAACTGTGGCGTTTTGGGCCGAAGTTCCTGCATTTGGGACTATGACCAGTGCAGAACTGTCGGCGCTGCCGCTTGAGGAGTTGGCACCGATTCCTGCGCTCGTCACAGTTCCACTTGCTCTCGTCAAGAGGACTGTGTTAGGTTGAGAGACTAGGACTGCAGCGGGTTGAGGGTTAGGAGGACGAGGGGTAGACAGTTGGGACTGTTTGAGGCTGAGTATCTCAGCCTGCCGCTCTTGGTTCCGCTGCTCCAGTGCTGTCACGCGGGACTCAAGGTCTTCCAAGGTCCGCAGTCGAACCAAGGCTGTTACGGCATCAGCTATCTTCTCTCGGAACTGGTCATCATTCAATTCCGGAACCGCGAGGAGGGCCGCCTGTTCAGCTATGCTTGTGGCTCTGGCTGCTGCCTCTGCCTCCCTCTCCCTCTGTACGGCGTCGTCATAAAGTTTTTGAAAGAACGGTTTCTCATTCTCGTCTGCTGTGTCCAACATGGCCTGACATTGGGCAGATGAGATGCCTGCCATGCTGGAGGAAGGGGTGTTAGTAGATCTCTCAAGAGGGGTCCGCTCTCTCCTCACGTTTGGACGAACACTCCTCTTGCCCTTCCTCACGTTCCCAAAAAGAACACCTTCTCTCTCCCTTCTCTCTCTTTCCGCTTCCTGCGCACGCATCTCAATACCAGACATAGATAGTTCAGATAAAAGAAACAAACAGTAAATCACAAAGAGTAGAAGGTAGATCTCCTAGCCGGAGCGGCAATTCATTTGGACTTAGAGAATGGCACGCAGCAGGGAAAAAAAAAAAAAAAAAAAAAGCGGAAGAGAGGACTGACTTATAGAACGGGCCCGATCAGATTAGTTGGAGATCCCCTCTTGTCTAACCTGACAAGGGACATGTACCACAATAAATCAGCCGAAGAAAACTAACTGCAGCAATGGAGATTTCGAGGGGTGCAGACAGTCGCTGAGCTAGACGCGGGGCAGTATGTGATAACATGTAATAAGACCAGTCAAGATCTCCTTGAAAGGAATGCCCTTGCTAGTCGTATGTCCCCCAAGTTCAGCGCAGCAAAGAGATGCACTGGCGGCAACAAATTGCCTCTACCGTTGGGCCTGGTCCCACTGAGTCCCAAAAGATCCCAAGTAGGTTGTGGACCAGGACCAACGAGATAGGGGTACCAAGCCGGTCCCAAATTGCCTCTACCGTACTGAAAAGGAAAAGACAACTTTTAGCAAGAACTTACCCCTTCAACCATTCAGAAATGAAAAGACATTGCACCGTAGAAAGATATGTCATTTAGAACAGGTACATCATCCATCCATCCATCAGGTGAGAAAGCAATCCACATGCTCACACACAC